ACTGTGTTTGATGGAGAGAGCAAGTCGCCTTATGCATTCAGTGGGGATCAGTGGATTGACTACGACAATGTCCAGAGCATCGAACTCAAGATGCAATTGGTGCACTCACGAAATTTGGGCGGCGCCATGACTTGGGCCATCGATATCGACGACTTCCGCGGGATGTGCGGCGAAACGTATCCGCTATTGAAGGCAATGAACAGGGAATTAGGAGTGGATGTGGGCAACGAAGGAGGCAGTGCTGAACCTACACTTAAGCCAACAACGACTGCGACTTCAACGGCAGCTCCAATTTCGACTAGAACTCCAACTTCGACCCCTACTCAGACTCCAACTGCAGCTCCAACTCTAACTCCGACTGCAACTGCAACTACGACTCCGCTTTGGACTCCGACTGCAACTCTGCCACCGGAAGCGACTGAGAGCTGTGCAAGAAATGGTTTCTTTATGCAAAAAGGCGACTGCAATCGATTCTTCAGGTGTGTGAATGGAGCTCGCTACAACTTTACTTGCCCGTCAGGTTTATACTTCGATATTAAGACGAATATCTGTAATTGGCCTTCATTAGTCAACTGTCCATATTAATTGTCAACTGGAAAAAAGCAAGAGTGGACATAGAAATAAAAAACTAAAATATTTGTTTAATTTGTGTAAATCTGACATCTTTGATTTATTTGTTTCTATTATCCAATTACACACTGTTTTAGGAAATGTTATTTACAGGACATGTTAACGATTTAAAATGTAGTTAAATCTTAACAGCCCTTTATAATTACTAAACTGTTAGAATTAGTCATTAACTTCTAATGTATATAATTTTGAAGCACTGGTCTATAATTTAATGCGCGGCAACATTTAAAAACCATAACAGAGAATAGAATAATGTCCTAACATTAATACTAATTTGGTATTTTTAACAGCACTGTAAAGTAACACGACTGTTATACTCAAAAAGGCAGCGGCGTCAAAAATAATTGTCGGCTTCTTTGAACGCGCGTAAGCTGACGTCTCTTTTGAAAATCTATTTGTAAAGTGAATAATTGTCAGATTTTGTAAAATAAATATCAGGACATAAGGACAAGTAAGTGTTGACAGCAATTGTAGGCATGTGAACAACGAGATTGGATTAAATTACAGATGCAACTTCAGAATGTCAACGTCATCGATATCCTCCAAATTGAGCCTCTCGCTGGGCGAGCAGCAGCTGGCCAAATTGACTAATGAGTCGGCAGAAATACGAATGCGTGCATTGGAGCAAATTGAAACGCGTTTCATACGTTGTCTGCAGCACGGCGAGCCAATTAACTTTAAGCCCGTGCTGCTGCTCAAGCAACTAATACGCTGGTTTGGCTACACACCGCCAGCTGCTCCGGATCGTGTGCTAGCCCTAGTGCTCGAGCTGTTGCGATCGGATTACTGTGAGGCTGTGGTCAACAAGATTCCTTGCCATCGCCTGGTAGCCGAGCTGAATAAGATACGAAAGATACTTCAAAATGTGGAGTCAAAACGTGCTATGGAACTGCTGGACAATTTACTGAACCTGGTGCCTTACCTCTACAAGGAGTTTAATATCACTCCCATTAACAGCAACCCTAATGGGAATACCAACAATAGTTCGGGTATGTTGCCTTATAAAAGATAATGATGCTAGGTATATGATATGCGGTTCGCTTCAGCAGGTGAATCCCGCGAGTGCAACAGTGAAATGGAATTGTTTTCCTTGGAAAACTTTAATATTGGCCCCGAAGACTTTGAAACGGCCTGGTCGTGCGCTAGCCGCGATGATGTGGCCACGATGAAGACCCTCAACGACACTTTGACGATTGGCAACGACGTACAGCTGCAGGAGAATTTGACCAACATTCAAATCAAATTATGCGACTATCCAGCCGAACAACTATTTCAGGATCCGTATATATTCCTTCAATTGCTGCACGTGCAGCAGTTGCAGGCGGATGCAACACTGTGGCACGCCAGCCGGGCGCTGTTGACCTTCATCAAGCTGCTGCAGCATCGTCTGCGCGTGCGCAAGGACTCGAATGACACTGGCTTTAGTGTCAAGACCTACGCTACGAAGCCTCGTCAATTGCGCGTTACGAGCGTATTGGGCTTGCTGCTGAATGGCTGCATGGAGCTGCTTGGACCACCGCTGATGGAGCATTGCGGTCACAATTGGCATCTGATCGAGCTGAGTTTTGAGACGATCAGAACCTATGATCAGCTGGGTGCTACAATACCTGAAAGTGTTGTGCAGCGACTGGGACTGATTGTGCCCAAGCTGATACGCTACTGCGTCAGCTTCGATGTGAGCCTGCCCAGCGAGATACCGGGCTTGGTGAAAAGGCTGATGATCCCCCGGCTAGAGTCGGTGATCTTCAATGGACTGCTCTTGGATGTTATTGCATTGAGCTTGAAGAACAGTGGGGGCGTTTCCAAGCCCGCCGCCCGGTCGTTGCTGCAGCCACTAATTGTGGACATTTCATACCTGTCCTGCATGCCCGAGCGCATGAAGGCGTTGTGCGACGTCTGCGGCATTGTTTGCCCCGAGACGGCGATCGATGAACAGAATATGGTGCGCATCAAAGAGGCCCTCGGCATGGGCCTGTCCCAGTTGGTGGATGAGATAAAACTGACGGCCATGGAGTTGCTGCAGAATCAGAGCAAAATATGTCTGGTGCTGCTGCTTATGGGCAGCGAGTCCCTGATGTCGGCACTGATCAAGGCGATTGTCAAATGTACCAGCTTCTACATAGCCAAGCCCGAGCTGCGGAAGGAGGCGGAGTCGCTGCTGCATACGCTGTTCGACCTGCCCAACGAAGAGTTGCGCAACTCGGCCTTGCGCCAGCTCAAGCAGCCCGTTGTCGAACACTTTCACGCCTTCATGAACGGCACCAACTACTTGGCCGGCTGCAACAACCTTGAGCTGGCCAGAAACCATATTCTCGGCCTGCCCATGAGCTCGGAGCTGTTGCGCAAGCTGTTCGTGGTGGGCTGGCGGCCCGAACCGTCGGACCAGCTGCAGCAATGGTGCGTCGACTACATGATAATGGTGGTGGGGCTGGCCAAGCTGGTGCCCTCCAAGGACTTTATTCAACTGTTTAAGATGGTAATACCTGTAATTCCGATTATCGTGTGTCGCGCCATCAACCACTACCAGCTGGAGAACATGCTCTGGGAGCTATTCGATCCGGATAGCGAAGTCTTGGAGCCGCCGCAGTCGTTGCGCGGCAATGTCTGTTACCTGTATCATCCGGATGCCAAGTATCGCAAGGAAGCCATCGGTCGGATTGGCTACGTTCTGGTCTGGCAGGACCATCAGCACAAGTACCGCCCGGCCATGGACAAGCTGTGCCTCGAGTTGATTGGCCACGACATCTGTCTCATCAGGCCGCCGGTCAACTACTACAACATCTTCAGCGAGCGCTCGCAGTTGCCCTTTCAGCGCAGTATGGGGACATTGCTGCGTCTGCTGGAGACACCAGATCTGAAGCCGAGCATTCGCAAGTCCACGCTGATTCAGCTGAACGCGCTGATGCACAGCTGGGAGGCTGTACACTATTTCACCACCTGCGAAGGCGCCTTTGTGCTCTGCCTGAGGGCGCTCCACGATCCGCTTGTGCGCGACGCAGCCGGAGGCAATGAGGAGGTTGAGACACTGATGCCGGCAGTTAGCATCATACTGCGAGTGCTCTTCCGCAGCGAGCGATTCCGCAAGGAGTTCAAGCACAACGCCGAGATGATCGTCTGTCTGCTGCGCTGCCTCTTCCTGATGCCGCACGAGATGCAGCTGCGGGCCGAGGTGAGCATCTGCATCTTTACGCTGCTCTTCCATGAGCACGTGACGCCAAAAGAGAATTGCCTCAAGCTGGACGTGGATCTCTCGGCCATGATGGTGCCGGTCACCTACGAGGTGGACCACACCGCACCGCTGACAGCCGCCACCGAGGGACTGGAGCTGCAGAAGTCCCTCTTCGTGAAGCACTTTGAGAGCAATGCGGCCATCGAGTCCCAGCACTGGCGCCTCTTTGTGGCGAACAGAGTCTGCGGCTCGCCGAAGAATCTGTCGCTGTCCGTCGTCGGCGCAATGGACATCAGGGATGCGCTGAAGCTGAAGCCAGCCGATGTGGCTCTCGTGCAAGCGACGCTCGTGCACGAGCAGCTGGAGAAGCAACTGATCGCTGCCAATAACTGCAGCAGCCACGTGACGCTGCAGCAGCTGGTCGCCAGCGTGCAGCTGTTTCTGGTGCTCCTGCGCAGGGAGGTGGAGCCGGCCCAGTGCACCGCCCTGTGGAAGCTGATGCATCGGTATGTGCGGCTCACGCCCGGCAACAGTGACGATGTCATGCTGTACACTGCGCTCCTGGAGCTGTGCCTGACCTGCTTGCGTCACAGACTGCCCGAGGTGATGGACGGTCTCTCGAACGCCCTCGAGACCGATCCGCATCACAGTTTCCGGGAGATCCTGCGCGACGACACTGTCTCATTGAATCTGTTGAGCCTGGTCACCGAGTGCCTGGTGCAGCTATTGAACTACCAGCGACTGCAGCCCACCCTCAGCTGGCCCACCAAACTCTTCGAAGAGCTGAGCAATCGGGCGCGTTCGCTCTTCGAGCAGCGCAAGCTGCAGCATGTGCGCTGCATCTTGGGCGTGCTGCGAGAGCTCAGCGAGCAGCCGCTGCAGTTGGATGGCGGCCAGATAGAGGTGAGCAGAGATTTAACCCAGACATGGGTATATAATTAAAGTATCTCATTTCTCATTGCAGCCCTACTATCAGCACTATATGCAGCTGTCGAGCAACCTGCGCACCTGCACGCAAACCGGCGCCCAGTGGCAGCGCGATTGTCTGTTGATCGTCTGCCAGATGCACGCCATGGGCAAGCAACTGGGCGCGCCGTGCTCCAAGGCGCAGGGCGAAAATAAGGTGCTGCGCTATCTGCTGGGCCTGTGCAGCCACCCGGACACGGAGGTGCGCGCGCTCGCCTGGGTGGCAATAGCCAATTGGATCAGAAATGCCGCCAGTAGCATGACCAGAGTTTTGATCGCTTTCCAGGACTTTCTGCCGGGTGGGGTGGCTGCGTGCTGCCTCACCACGATGCTCGACGATCACGAGGCGTTGCTGGTGCGCGAGCTGGCGGGACGCGTGTTCGAAATGCTGATGCACAATGTTGGAGCATCTGGATGCAATGAGCTGTTCAAATATCACTCGTACCTGAAGCACGGCCAAAAAGCGATTATGTGGATGCAGCTGTCGCCAGAGAGGCAGCGGGCATCTGGACGGAAATCGTCGTTCGATCTGATTAGCTGCTACACCAGCATTTGTGCTAAATTGATCCACCTGGACCCCGACTGGAGTGCCGTGCTCTGCAACCATCCCTTCTTCAATGCACTGAGCGACATCCTGAAGATGCCCACGCCCCCGCAGCACCTGCTCAGCTCCTACGTGGAGCTGTGCGCTGGCCACATTTGCAAGCTGTACGCGATGTGCTATCGGCGGAACTTTGATTGCCTGCAGCGCGGCATTTGCCGCGATCCGGTGCTACTGAAGAACTTCCTCTCCCTGATTAACAATGTGCTCGATGCTGAGAAC